AGATTCTCTTTACAGAATTTTTTAGGGGCCAAAGTTTCGTGCTTAAGGTTCATTGTGGTACCTTTGTTTAAATTTCATTATTGTTGTCCTTTGCGATACAAACAGTAATGAGAGTTCAAGTAAAAGTCCTCATGTACCTAAAAAGTGAAGTTTTATGGAAGTGAAAAAAGAAGGAAAAGAGAGGATTGAAAGGCAATGAAGACTGAAGCAGATATTAAATTATGTTGCTCTTTTCTTATTATTTCTTCTTCTTGATTCCTCACTCTCGCTGCAATGTGTATATATATATATATCTTTATTGTTATTATTAGTCTGTGATGCTGTTATTGCTATTCTGCAGTGTTGAAATTTTTTCATTTTTTTTTTCTTTTTTTTTTGTTGTTGTAATAATGTATGTATGTGTCCTTACAATCCTTATATGTACAGTTTCTTCTTAATAGTAGAAGGAAGTGGGGGGAGACAAATAGAGGCGAGCAAACGGAGCCGTGTTGGAGTGCTTCCTCGCTTGCCAGCAGCCATAGCAGCCATAGGCACAGAAGCCTTAACTATTAGTATTTACTGCGGTCATATCATTAACAAAAGAAGAAGAAAAAAAAGAAAAATAATAATGTTCCGCGGCAATCTGCCTTGTCTTGCGTCTCTTCGCTATCGTCGGCCGTACTGGATGCTTTTCCTCACTGGTGTGGACAACTGGAAGATTTACACCGTCATTCAACAGCCAGACCACCAGCGAACAGAGATGCTGTACCAGGCCTGGCTTGGTGGACTCGACAGACCCTACACACGCCCAAAGTGTATGGCCCACCAGCCACTGTGGCTCAGTAAGAAGCGACACATGTTGCGCAAAGACCGCCTGGATGGACCGGAAACACCATTAGAGAAATATGTGTTGGAGTGGCACAGACGCTTTCACTCCTTTCAGGGAACCGAGCGACCCACCGTGGAGGATTTACACACCGCACTGGACTTGGTGGAGCGACCACTAGATCTCAGCTACGCATTTCAACTGTTAAATCAATGTCGTAATATTAATAATATCCGTTTCGCAGAGGACACTTTTCTTCTCTTTTTAGAGGCTTGTCTACGTGTTGACAGGAAAGATTGTGCGGTGTATGGGGCAGAGCATGCTGAGACTTTGGGTTTTTGGTATATTGACGAGAATCATCGACGGTATCTTAACGGAGAGCAGAGTTGGTATAAGTTATCCCCGCTGGATAACATGTATTACCCACTGGAGGAGAATACAGAACTCAACGCCGGGCGGTCGTCAACATCACCGGCGGGCACTACGCAGTCAGAGGCTGACCGTACTGTAAAGACTCCAGCTGCAGAGATATTAGGGGCAGAAACAGCAGATGTTTCTCCATCTGGAGTTGGAATGGAGGGAGTGGAGAGTAGTTCTGTGGATGACGAAATTGCACGTCTTGAGGCTGAGTTAGCTGCATTGGAGAATGAGGAAAGCAAGAGCAACTCAAAGAAGTGAGGTTTTTTGTTGTTATTTTATTTTTCAATTTAATTCTTACACGATTCGTGCTCTTGTAATTACTCTTTTTCTTCGCTTTTGTGAATCTGGCTAGTTACTAGCTTTTTCTTTTTTTTTTTTCTTTACATTTATTCAAATAACGAAAAAAAAAAAGAATAAAATAAAAACAAAAAAACGACTTGTAACCCCTGTTCTTGCTCTCGAATTCATTCTTGTTTCTTTTTTTTTTTATTATTATTGATTTCTTAACACTTTTGTATGACTTTCTCTCTTTCTTCTTTTTTTTTTTTCCTCCTTTACTCCTCTCTTCTCTCATTCTATTATTGTTATTATTCACTTGTACTTTAAGGGTAATTTAGGAAAGTTGCCATAATGGACTCTCTCGTGCTTAATTCTCTTGCAAACACCTTCGTTCCACAAGTAGCTGCAGACTGGCTCTCTGCTTTCTGTGAGAAAACTGGACAGGCTTGGGGTCCTAATGGTTCAGAGAAACTTTTCTGGTATCGATCTCCAAAGGTTCATATATTTGAATTTTTGGTACTGCACCTATTTGTTTTTTTCTGTTTTCGTGCTAGTCGGGGTTATTTCACTAATATAACTAAATATGAAGGACGAGGAGAGGTATCACGTGGTAGGTCTACTAAAGGTCGTCTAAATAAATTATTAGGAATAATTTTTCTCTTCTTGTGGGTTTTACAGTTAATTTTCAAGGCTTTACGACCAACCCCTTTTGTACAAATGGGATGGTTATTAATGCCTTGTCATCTTATTACACTTATTTGGGCATTTGTTCTTTTACGACAAAAAGAGTCAGAGTATGCGTTAAATGTATATTTGGCAACTCTCGCAGCGGATTATCACTGGGGTCCTGCAGCGGCATCTCTTGTTCCTGATTTTGGGGATCACCAGTACCGTATTGAGAGTTACTTTTTCGTCTTCCATCACGGATTATTACTTATTATGCCATTTTATTTTTCAGCACGATATGAGTTATTACCCATGAATCTTAAACATTTATTACATGTAACAGCAGTAGCTGTAGTAGTAAACATTTGCCTATACACATTAATCTCATATATAAGTGGTCTCAATGTAAACTACATGCTGTATCCACCCCCAAAACTTTGGGGGGTTTTCCCTTTCACATCTAAGGCATACAGATTTTACATTATTGCAATTCTTATGGGCTGCACAGTAGTTTTTCATGTTATCATTAGCAAGTCTGGTGATATCATCAAGTGGATTTTGTCACGAGGGCGAAAGCGCAATGGTTTACACTTGAAGCGATCTGCGAAACGTCATTAAATATAATGGTTATTAATAATATTCTGAATGTTTCTTCTCCTGTGTTGCATTATTTTTTTTTTATCAGCGGGAGTTATGGAACTATCGACAGAGCTAAATGTGTTTTTTTTTTCCTTGTTGTTGTTATTGTTTTTTTTTTTTTGATATTTGTCTTATTTCTCCGTTTATGTTCTTGAGCATCGATTAATTTTTTTTTTTTCTGTGTGTGTGCGCTTATTTGAACCTTGAGTTCAAAGATACCATTTTTTTTTTTTCTGTTGTTGTTGTTACTTTTAGTGGTGTATATATATATAAATATGTATTTATGTATTTCATATGTTCTCTCTCTCTCTTTTTTTTTTCTTTTATGTCTTCCCCCACCCACTCAATCGCATGTAATCACCATGAATATATAAATCGTGTGAACGCAATCAATTAAAAAAGAAAACTCCGTTGCACACTTCCTCCCTGTGCAGCCAATGGGAACAGCCTTTAGTGCGGAGGTCAGCGACACGCGGGAGTTGGCAAACGCCTTCTTGGATACATTTGGCCGCGAATATGAGAAACTTTATGTGTGGGAGATGGTCCAGCATGTGCGGCGGGCCATGCAGCGGGAGGCGGAAACCAGCGGAGCCGCAGAGGCCGTCTGGCGATTATACTTCGCCCCTTATATTCCTGTGCAGATGAATGATCGTGATAGTGTGATGGCAGCCAAGTTAAGTAAACACCTAAAACACTGGAATCCACGTTATTTTGTGCTCCGCGGTGATTTTCTCCTCAACTACTATGAATCTCGTAATAATCATGTAGATGGGAAACCACCACTGGGAACAGTGAACTTGGGTTCTGTGGTGATTAACCGTGATGCCACACAAGCAGCAGAGGAGCGACTCGATAAACTTGCCGCTCTTTGCTCTACACCACGTACAGAGATCTCAGCAGAACCAGAAAAGTATCCCGATATGACAGTGGAATTATATCATCCTCGACGAGGCTCTATTTATCTACAATTTCCTATGAAAGACCGATATGAGATGTGGTGTAATATTTTTGAAAGAGTTCACTGGTTAATACCGCGAGTCTTTACAATGGATGGAATGCATCGACGTGCATTTATTGAAGCCTTTCGTCGGGCACGTGTTATGTGTGGATTGCCAGACTCTCTGGAGTTTAGCGGTCCTGAAACAACATCTCTACAAGATGCTGTCACTGAACTTGTGGATACTAAAGTTGTACCCAAACTTCTTATCAAGTTATCTAGTAAATCCTGGAGAGATCGAATTTCACAATTACATTCTTTTCAAGAAAAAACAGATGAATTATTAAAAAACTATGTATCAGGAAAGTGGCATGCAATACAAGGAAGGTCATGTGGACGTCGTGTACTCATAGAAGCAAGAGTACGTGACAATATGGAAGGAATTAATGCATTTGAAGAACCACTTCGTGAAGAGATGCATAACTACACTTGTAAAGAGACTCTAGCATTTATTGCCGAATATATAGAACCACCATTAAGAGAGTTAGCAGCTCTTGTAGCTCCACGTTTACGTCAAGTGTATGCCAGTGTACCAAGATTATATGAGGCATGTGTATCTCAAGGGAAAGTACACTATGAGGCACGAGAGGATCGTATGTTTCTTGTTTCCAAATACAATAGTATTGGTGAATGTTATGAATGCGAAAGAGAATTATGGGAGTTGCGAGATGTTGTTGCGGCACAGAAGGCGAAATTTAATGGTAGAGTCTTTGAATGGCTTGTTTTACAAGATAGTGTTATCCGTATTCTACGTCGGGTCATTGCGAACAGTATCTTTACATTTGAAACGGTGTTTGAACAGAACAAAATGCAACGACCATGGGATGATGCCTTTCGTGAAGTACGTACTTTAGTAGAAGCGGATAGTCGCACTATGACCCCATACGCCTTATCACTATTACTATACAATACAGCTGTACACTATTTCTGTGATGAACATGTACATCCATCCCTTGTGCGTCTCAAGGCGGTGATGATTACACCACTTGAGAATCGTGTAACGGAGGAATTACGTCCATTTATTCCAAGTATACAAGAAATAGTTGTGGATGTTCTTCTTGGGGATCTGCGCGATGTATGCCGCAGTATTGCTGAGAGTGCTCTCGCAGCTGCATAGTGCTTAGTGTCAGTCTACATCTGAAGAGGAGGAGGAGGGGCTCTCTGGTATCGAAAGAAAGAAATAATAATATGAATAATGTAAGAAAAGAAAAGAAAACAAGAGGAAGAAATAGAAAGAATGCATAAATGGGATTAGCCCGAGGATCGGGAATACTATATTGTAACGACTCGTACTTTATTAGTATTATTATTGTATTTTATTTGTTTTTTATTTATTATTAATTTGTTCTCTCTCTTTTTCTTGTTGTGGTAGGAGTTGTAAAACTATGTCTCTCTACATATATCAGTAACTGACTGCTCATATATTTCAGTATCGTTTTTTTTACCGTAAAGGATCTTTTTTTTTTTTATTATTATTCCATGCGTTGTGTGTGTATTTGACTCGTGTCATTCTCTAATTTTTTTCTTTATTTTTATTTTTTTTTTCTTTTTTCGTTGCTACGGTCTCTAACTCCCATTGGTATCAATCTCTTTAACTGATTTATTTATTTATTTATTTATTTATTTATGTATTTATTTATTTATTTTTATTTTTATTTTTTATCCTTGTGGTTCTATTCCTCTATTTATTCCCTTTCGCTCACTCACTGTCGCGGAGCTCAGTATTCTGTGGAAGAAGGAAAGAGAAGACTCGAAGAAAAAGGAAGGAGTAAAGAAGAAACGGAAAAAAAAAGAGAAACAAGAATTTAAAAAAAAAAGAAAAAAAAAATGGTTTACGCCCTTCTGGAGCTCCCTGCCGGAGTGGCACTCTTCAAGGTGGACGGCGAGAAGCAAAAGCTGAAGGCGCTGCTGCAGTTTAAGAGCACCGCGGATGCCCTTGCCACCACAACACAAGTTGTCAATGGTGAACTGGCAAAGCCGGTGCGCAAGTTTCTCAAGAAGAACTTTCTCGAGAAGGAAATCACAGAGGAGCTGGCGGTGGCGGATTCCAAGCTCGCCAAGGCCATTAAGGAAACCCTCGCCATTCCATGTATCCACGGTGATGAGACCCTCGCCACCTTCCGTGCCCTGCGCGCCAGTGTGGATGAGTTGCTGCAGGAGGTGTCGGCGGAACAAATGAACCAAACCGCCCTCGGTCTGGCGCACAACCTCAATCGCTACAAACTGAAGTTCTCCCCCGATAAGGTGGATATGATGGTGGTGCAGGCCGTCGCCCTGTTGGAGGATCTTGACAAGGAAATTAACAAGTATGCGATGCGGGCACGTGAGTGGTATGGCTGGCACTTCCCCGAGCTTGCCAAGATTGTGAATGACAACCTTCTGTATGCGAAGATTGTATTGGCGACCAAGACCCGCTTCAACGTGCGCGACACAGACTTCTCGGACTTCCTTGAGGAGGAGTTGGAGCAGAAGGTAAAGGAGGCGGCAATGGTGTCCATGGGAACAGAGATCGCCGAGGAGGATATTGAAAACATCTGCCGTCTCTGTAGTGAAGTCGTCGCGGCCGCGAAGTACCGCGAGACCCTCGCCGCCTATCTCAGTTCCCGCATGCAGACCATCGCCCCCAACCTCACCACGATGGTCGGCGAGCAGATCGGCGCCCGCCTCATCCAGAAGGCCGGCTCCCTCCTCTCCCTCGCAAAGTACCCCTCCTCCACTGTGCAGATCCTCGGCGCCGAGAAGGCACTCTTCCGCGCCCTCAAGCAGCGACAGGCAACACCAAAGTATGGTATTCTCTACAATGCGCAGGTGGTGGCGCGGGCCGCGGCCGCCAATAAAGGAACCATGTCGCGTGTGCTCGCCGCCAAGACATCGCTTAGTGCACGTATTGACTCCTTCGGTGAGGGCGACAACGCCCCCGCTTTGGAGTACCGCAGTAAAGTGGAGGAGCGGCTGCGGCAGTTCGAGGAGGGCGTCGCGTACGGACAAACAGGAAACGCACGCGGTGGTGGCGCCAAACTGCAGCAGAAGCGCCCACTCGGATCAGCGGGGGGTAACGGCCACAATAACAATAATAATAACAACAACGGAGGAGGCGCACCGTTCAAGCGGCCACGTATGGGAGATGGCGGCTTCGCTCGGCGTAACTAAAAAAAGAAAAAAAAAACTGAAAAGAAACAAACAAATATATACACATATCTCAAGAAGAGGAAGAAGAAGAAGAAGGACAGCAGCATGAACGATGACGACAACAATGTGAATGAGAAGCAGGAGGGATGATTCTGCTGAGGATGGTGAAGGAAAGAAAAAAAGGGGAAGAAAAAAACAAAAACAAAAAAACAACAACAACAACAACAAATGAACAAAAAAGAAAAGGAAGAAAAAAAGAAAAAAAAATGATGAAAAAAAAAAAGAATAAGTAAACAAAGAAATACAGTAATAGGATACTCTGATGAGGTACACACCAACCTGGAGGAGGAAAAAAAATAATAATGAGAGGAGCAGAGATACGATTTAAACTGCATCATTACAAGGACATTTACAATGGTATATCAACTACCGTGATGCAACAAAAAAACAAAAGAAAAGAGAGATAGAAACAATAACATCTCATTAAACTCTTTTCTTTTTCTTTCACATCACATACTGCTGGTACTACTACTGTTCTTTTTCTTGTTCTTGCTGTTGCTGTTGTTGTTGTTATTGTTTCCTCGTTGCGGTTGTACTTTTATCCATATTTTTCTCGTTGTTAAACCTTTTCCTTTTTTTTTTCTCAGCCGTTTTTTTTTTTTTTTTTTCCTTTTTCTTCTTCGTATCTACGTCTAAATCACAGGAGGAGACCCCAACTCCTTAACTGTTTAACAAGAAAAGGAAAAACAAAGAAAAAAAAATCACACATGAACATGAAATGAGTGATGAGAGTGAGAGTGAAAGTGAGAGTGTGAGATGAAGTGAGAGTGGGTGGGTAAGAATAATAAGACCGAATGGAAAAGTAAAAAGGAGAGAAAGAGGGTGAGAAGTGAAGATGAAGATAGAGAGGAAACAAAGAAAAACAAAAAAACAAATAGGGATAGAGTTTATATATATATTTTTTATATATACATACAGCATCCCTTTTTGAGTAGAATCTCTATCTAACTGTCTTAAATCACGACTTGTCTATTTTTCTATTTTTCTTTTTTTTTTTTTTTTTACAAGAATGGTACGAATAATAAATAAAAATTACCCACCCATCTTTTCACTCTCCATATACATTCTTTTTTTTTTTTCTTTCTTTTTTGTTATTGTTAAGTTTCACAACATTATATATATTTATATATTTCTTTGGGTGTGGCATCGCCTCGTGTAGCAGGGTTTTGACTATTTCTAGTCAGACTCGCTATATGTGTCTTTTCCTAACCCTTAAAAAACTAAAAAAAAAACATGTATTTATATTTCATATTTGTTTTTTCTTTTCTTTTCTTTTTTCTTCTTTCTGCGTTTCCTATTATACATATTTTTTGTTTTTTTTTTCAAACATACACATAGGTGTACAGAAACAAGGGGGAAAAAGAAGAAGATCCATCTTGCTAATAACTGTATCTATACATAATACCTCTATTCGTATACTCACATTGGAAGAGAGAAAAAGAGAGAAAAGAAAATAATAATAACGTTATACTCGGAATACGTCTCTGTGTACTTTGGTGTTTTGGTTCACCTAATTGATTTCACAAGAAAAAAAAAAAAAGGTAATGCTGCGCTGTTCCCATATATTCCGTGATGTTAACTTTACCGGTATACAAATGCCACGTAAGTATGTTTCCATCGGTGGCTGGTGTGGTCCTGCATTAATGTTGGGTAAACTTGGTCTGCGCACTGAGGCCTACCCGTTTGACTTCAGTCGCTGCACATTGGATGGAATTCTCCACTTTATTCGCAATGGCTTTGCGCAGGGCTTCTACCCACCAGGCCCACCGCCCTACCGACCAGAGTGTGTGGGCATTTGGGTCCTCTATCGCGGGCAACACACCGCCTTTGCCCACTTTGATCTCAACAGCGCGGAGATACAGGCGCAGTTTACTCGCAAGATGCGACGTTGGGATCAATTGATAGATGCACCAAAGATGCCAGTAACGTTCTTTCGCTCTATCGCTGCACGTGATCCAATGGATGAAATACGACTCGTACCACAAGTGGAAGAAGCTATTGCAGCTCGTAATCCATCATTGGATTTTCGTATTGTTATGATTGCACATGATCAAGGATTAAAGGCCCGTAGTGTTGAATTCGCCCCACTTTCACCTCGTGTTTCTCTTTGGGCACTTACCTACACAAAAGACACCAACTTCACCCTCTTTGATCGCGCACAACAGGCCTATACTGATATTGTACTTCACAGTATTGAAGAAGAAAATTGGCCACTTAATCCAAATAAAATCCCAGAACCGGTAGGATTACATGAAACAGAAGCGGATTACATGCATCGTGTTTTGTATAAAAGTGATGAGTCCACTATTCCTTTTTCATCTCTAACAGCAGAAACTTTCCCATGGCGTAGTCATAATAACATTGCCCTCATTGACGGTGTGGCAAGTGTAGGAGGAACTTGTATTGGTATAGGCAGTACACAATGCATAGATGGTCGCTGTGCTTTCTGTGGTAACACTGATTATCACAAGGCAGGACGTCCCTTTCGCACTGAACGTCCCTTCACCGATGAAGAAGATCAGTTGATATTAGTACATTTATACCGTATCCTTACAGGTGGAGATAAAGTGGAGGCCGTTGAAGATTTGGCACACCAGATGAATCGTGGTGCTTTTGAAGTTATTTGCCGTATTCAGTATCTTACTAATTCTAGTGTTAAGATCATGGACTATTTAGATGAAGAGAAAGACAACTAAATATAAATTTTTAACCATTTGGTTTTACTTGTCTTGTATTTTCATTTATTATTATTATTATTATTATTATTTTTCTTTGCTGTTCTCCTTTTTTTCCCCTTTGGATTATTTGGAGAGATTCTGAGAAGGGTGGTTTGATCTTGTTTTTCTCTGGTAAAGACAAAAAAAAAAAAAAACAAGAAAAACAAAGAAAAAGAACAGTCACTATCATTTATTCTTAAAATTATCACTGTAAATCTTTCGTCCTAAGACGTAAGTTTGTTGAAAACGCCTGAAAAGGCTTTCAATACAGAATAAAAGAATCAACATGTACTCATTGGTGGAGTTTTGATATATATATATAT